AAGGCCCGCCTTCTGGACCTTGCTAGTCGGAGTTCTTTTGCCAAGGGGGTCTGGAGCATGCCCCCTTTGTGTGATCGGGTGGGACGGGTTGAAATCATGGGGGAGAGGTGGTCCCTCAGGTAGCCTGGCCTCATGCCATGTAGGGCTTTAAAGGTGATAACCAACACCTTGAATTGGACCCGGAAACAAAACAGTACCCAATGCAGCTCACGGAGCAATGGTGTTATATGGCTTCCGGATACTCTTCAAGGGTAGCCCCATGTAAAGCGCATTGCAGTAATCTATCTGGGAGATAACAAGGGCATGAGTGACCATTCGAAGGGCATCCCGACCCAAGAAAGGGCGTAACTGGTGCACAACCCAGAGCTGTGCAAAAGCCCTCCTGGCCACGGCTGTCACCTGCTCTTTGAGCAGGAGCCGTGATTCCAGGAGGACCCCCAAATTACGCACTGGGTCTGTCTGGGGCAGTGCTACCCCATCCAGCACCAATGATGACAATGTCCCGGATACAGAGGAGCCATTAACCTACAGCCACTCCGTCTTACCAGGGTTCAGCTGGAGCCTGTTGTTCCTCATCCAGACTTATGGTTTTGAACATGGTAAGACTGAATTTGAAGCAGAATTATGTACTAATGATGAACATTTTATTGCAAAGATGTATACATTTTTACTGAAACTAGAGACACAAGATGAACAAGTTAAGGACTGTATGATAAAATGAGCTAAACATTTTGGCTATAATATACAGATGGAAAATGGGAAAATACATGGCAGAAAGGACTGAAATTCACATTGTGTTATAACCTTTCAGAGAACTTCTATAAAATGATGTATCATTGGTACTTGTCACCAGAAAAATGATCTAAAATGTACAAAGGTACTTTGAATGTATGTCGGAAATGTGAACAAGAAGGGACATGTTATCATCTCTGGTGGACTTGTAAAAAAGAAAAAAAAAATGGAATGAGATACATATTTTCATACAGAAGGTTTTAAAGATTGATAATCAAAACCAGAGACTTTCCTTTTTGGCTTGATGGATAAACAGTTGGAAAAAACTTACGGAACTTTGTTCGTACATACGATAACAGCAGTAAGGATTTTATATGCACAGAGGTGCAAAGATAAGATACTACCTACAATGGAAGAACGGATGGTGAAACTGATGGAGTTGGCTGAAATGGCGAAGTTGATGGCTTTGATTTGAGATAAAACACTGTATAATTTTAATGCTAACTGGAAACCTTTTTTGGACTTTTTGCAGGAAACAGAAAAAAATGAAATTAGGTTATACGGATTTGATAATTAGAAATAATATGGGTTAATAGAAATAATGGAAGCTATGTTGTACATTTAGAACAAGAGTTTCATGTATATTGTTACTTAGATCTGTTGCGAGGAGAGTTGGAAGTTAATACTTTTCTTTTGTTTCTCCTCTTCTTTTTTTCTGCACTCTTGATCTTTACTATCCTTTTTTTCTAATTTGTTTTTTTTTCTTCTTCTTTTTCTTAACATTAGTTCTTGTTAGTTTTTACTGTTCTTTTTTAAAAAAATTAATGAAGTTATTAAGGAAACAGATACGTTGG